AAAGCATGTGCCAGACAGGCAGGCAAAGCCAGACCTCCTTCAGACCCAAGCGGGAATGAGTTGTAGTCAGGCAGAACTGACTCAGAGAAAGTCTTTACATCCTCCAGCCCTGAAGTGCTTGACCATGGCTGCAGATTGGAATCATCTGGAAAGATTTCCCCACCACACCCCCCACACACCACCCTGCCCCGAGACGGAGTCTTGCTCTGTCACCCAGGCTGGAGTGCAGCGGCACGATCTCGGCTCACTGCAACCTCCGCCTCCCGGATTCAAGCAATTCTCCTACCTCAGCCTCCTGAGAAGCTGGGACTACAAGCATGCACCATCACACCCAGCTAAATTTTACATTTTTAATAGAGATGGGATTTCACCATGTTGGTCAAGCTGGTCTCAAACTCTTGACCTCGTGATCCACCCACCTTGGCCTCACAAAGTGCTGGGATTACAGGTGTGAGCCACCGCACCCAGGCAAAGATTTTTAAAACACGGTTCTCCTAGCCCACTCCCAGAGACTCCAACTGGATGGTCTCGGGTGAGTCTCATGTAGTGTCTTCTTAAGGCTCCCTAAGTGGTTCCAAAGTGCAGCCAGGGTGGGGGGCATATGCCTGGAGACCTGTGCAGGGCATTACTCATAGGAGACATGGAGGTGACAGGATTGGCCTCAGGGACTGGGGAGTGGAGCTCCTAAGAGGAAACTCAAAAGAGGTTGGAGCTCTTTTCTTGCTGGAAGGTGCTCCTTGGAATTCCTGCTTTGGGGATTATTTTGCATCTTGGAAGTGCTCTCCCAAAGCAGCTGAAGGTGCCAAAAAGTAGAATCACCACCATCACCATCCCACAAACTCCCATCCTTGAAGGAAAAACTAGAAAGACTTAGGAGTCCAGAGGAAAGGGGCAAAGTCAAGCCCCCAGAATAGTTGCCTTCCCCTGTAGCCCAAACAAAAGTAGCTCTTGCAGTCTCAACATTCACTACTGGCCCAGTCCAGCTCACCCCAGTAGGAAATCTCACAGAAACCTGAGGCCAACAAACAGCCAGTGAGAAATCAAGGGCAGCCACTGCCTCAACTATTCTCTTTCCTATTGGGGTGATCATGGATCTTAAGGAACTTTTCAGGGGCTGGGGATCTTGGCCAACTCTCTCTCTCCATTAAACATAGCTAAGGAGTTCATGACAGGAGACAGGCAGGTGGGTGACAATTTAAAAATAAAGGAAAACGATAGCAAAGCATGCACTAGGTACTGCCATGAGCAAGGATGCCTTCGAATGCTTAACCTGCATCCCATTTGGAATCCCAGCACTACTGAACGTGTGCCGTAGAGTCTCCATTTCACAGATGACAAATCCAGGGTCAGAGAGGGCAGGTAAGTTGGCTGATATCACACAGCTGGCCAGACCTTTCCAAATAGCCCCATCTGGCTCCTAAGCAGCCACAGAGATGGGCCCATGTTAGCCAACACCAGTGGAAACTCTTTGAGGTTGAATTTGTAGACTGTCTCCTAATACCCACAGCCCTGGAGCTGTGTTTGAGGAGCTGGGGTCACTTATGGCACTGTTGCACACAAGGACATCTGATCTGGCTGCTGGGAACATTTTGCATCTGCCAGGCAAGACCAGGGGGAACTCCCTCGTGCGTTTGCTTTTTATAAAGGAGATTTTGGAGGGTTAAGTTTCCAGCCTCAACAGGCTTATCAGAGAAACTCCCTCTGCTAGACAGTGAACTACAGAATAAAGTCAAACCAGCTGGCAACCCTGCTGTGCAGGGAGCCTGAACTTGATTCAGAATCCAGGGGATGAGCAGAGGGTAATGAGACTGGTGGGAGAAGGAGAGGCTAATGGGAAGGACTCATGTCTTGCTTTGTAGGGGCTGCTGCCAGACAGGGTGAGGAGGCACCCAAGGCTGACAGCTCCTGCCTATGGATTTCAGCCGCACAATGACCTTTTGCTTCCCCAAGCATCCTCCCAACATGACCCATATTTGGGTGTAATAAAAAGTGCATGCTGGGTGGATTTTCTTAGCAACACATGTTCTTCTGACCTTGCCTGCCAGTTCCTGGGCCCTAAGTGCACAGGACAGCAGATCATACAGCTGCACCCTCTGCCTCCATTCAACCAACGTCAGCAGCCAACTGTGGGCCAGCCCCAGCCCTTCTTATGAGCCTTTGCACAAAACTCAGCCCAGGGATATCCTGAGTAGCTGCTCTTGGTCAGTAGAGAATGTCTTTCTAGTTGGGGAAGCCAGCATCTCCCCCATGGAGGTATTTTATTATCACTAGATTGTCAAAATGCTCTGCTCATCGAGAAATAAGAAGAAGGGACTCTACTTTCCTCCCCATCACAACTGTTTCTCCCAGTTGCCCTCATTCGGAGGGCAAGTAATACATTTCTCAGATCCAGCCCGATCAGCTCTATGTCCCTCAGTGCTGCCCCACTTGCCCCTGCCTTTCTCGCGCTTTCTCTAAGGCCCTGGCTCCAGCCTCACCCCTCTACCTTGATGCACCAACTGGCCATCTTCCCAGTTTCCCATCTTTGGCTTTATTTCCTGAGCTCTCGCATCTTACCTCTGGCAGAGCTCAGCACAGACTGGTAATTCAGTAATAAACCTTCAGTCTGGCATGTCCAAGACAGTTACCATGTAATCTAATTGGAGAGGGAAACCCTGGATGCATCTGTTTCATTGCTTCTCATTACCCATTACATTTGGATAATTTTGAGTCCTGAAGACTTTTCAATTCAGTTTAGTGGGCATATACTATACACCTATTATACATTTATTATACATCTACTATGTATGTCTATAGCACTGGGCTGGATACCCTATGGGACAGATGATGGCACAGAATGTTGGTGCTCAGAGAAACCAGCAAAAGAAATTCTTAATATGTAACCTATGGAGCCCTGGGGTTATTACATGGATGGTTCCAAGTTCTCTAAAAACAAGACATAAATTTTTATTTCATAAATTTCCCTCATGCTACATTGTAAATTGCCTATCTGGGAAAACATTTTTATGTCAAATTATATTGTTAAGGTACTGTTTTCCTCTTAAGTGCTATAATCATGGTCATCATTTTATGGTATTTAGAATATAATCTCAAAGTGATAGGAAAGAAAAAAACCTACCTGCAATTATGACTCCAACATGGCCAGTCTACATCAGTCCTAGTTTGACCTTGAAAATGTCAGCAAAGCTCACCTTTCCCATACTTTCATCACCAAACATGGCAGAGCTCCAACGTGGCTGTCCTTTTGAAAGACTGTGATCTTGCCACAGAAAGCTTAGAGCCAACTTAACTGAATTGTCACCTGACCTTTGTCCATTCTTAATCTAACATTGGACAGTATGCGTCATTGGAAAAAGAATGCTCAAAGCAAAGTCTACAGTGCTCTCCTGAATAACAATGGCAACAACAATAACAATTAAAAAACAACACAGCAAGAATAATGGTTTTCCTTCATTGAGTGCTTATTAAGTACCAGGCCTTCTGCCAAGGACTATACATATCACAGTTCACTTAATTCTTTTCACACACACACACAAACACACACACTAGATATTCTGTCATTCTTCACATGTTTCAGATTTTTAAAAGACTGAGGCCTAGAAAGATTAAGTAACTTTCCCAAGGCCACACAGCTGGGAAAGGGGAAACCAACATGCAAGTCTTTTTTCACCTACCTGAGAGCACAGCACTGCACCTCAAAGCTATAGCATCTTGCCCACTACTCTCCTGAATCTTGGAGGAGTGGATTCCTGTGTTCCATTATTGGGAGAGAAATTTACTGTTGAACAAATGGATGATATCTTGGTGCTATAGGTGACATGGAATGGCTGATGAAGCTAATGTGGTTGCCCTAGGCTGCTGCGGAGCTACGAACAGTTGTCTGTTCTCTTCAACTCGATGCTGGAGGCACCAATCCCATTTTCTGGTGCTGGCATCAGCTCCTCTATCTCCTATGGTGATCTACTTCCCAGACCACAGCACAACCAGCCCCCTCTCCTGCCCCAGAAGTAACTACATCAACCTACTACTGCCTCTAGCTGGATGTTTGGTGGGAATGATTCTTAACTTGAAAAACCTGCAATAATACTAAAACTTGTATTTGACCCACCACAGAAGGCTTATCTGGAAGATGTAGGAGGTTCTATGGGAGAATTAAACTCTGTGACATTAACTAAAATGCTCTTCCCCTGTACTTCCCAATCCTGCCCTTCACCCCCTGCACCATGTCAACCAGCAGTAAAAACTTTGTCTTTGTCCTACCCTCAGTGGAAAATGATGATACAGCCTAAAACAAAACTCAACTGGGTTTTAGAATGCCAGTTTTACAGGCATAACAGTGACAGCAGTCTTAAAAGCCTTGAGAGAATAATCAAGAGAGCTGATCTTTGAACAAAAGAAGGCATAGGCATTAAATAAATGATAAAGAAGCCTAAGAGGAGAGATAACATGTATTACATGGGCTAAGAAAAGGAGATAGGTTACCATACATTTGGAAGAGGGAAGTAAGAGAGTTGGTTATTGAAGTAAGTTCCAGAGGAAAGCACCACATTCACACTCTTGCCCTTTCCAGTTAAATCTGGAAAGGAGAGAGGATTCACAGAAACACTAAATGGCTTGGGTAGATCTCAGAGCATAAAATATCTGTATCTTCCCCTCCAGGATCCCTTGGGGAGTCTGCAAGCCTTTCAGAGAGGTTGTTCCCAGCAAGGCACAAGAGTGGTAGAGTTAACAATGGCAGAGGAAGGAATCTTGGTAGATGGGCCTGAGAGAGGCCTCATAGAGTGGTGTCCCATGCACCCCAGTGGGGAAATGGGAAGAAAAGACACTAGGAGTTGCAAAGCCATTGAGGGGAGAGCAGAAGGGATGAGAGATTGTAACTGGCCCAAAGGGGCCTGAGTCAGGATGAGGAAGAAACAGAGAGCATGGCCTGTCAGTGGGAGACCACATAGGACCACAGACACCCCAGAGGCAATTGTCAACACATGGTGACAGGGACCTACCTTCTTCAGATATTTCACCGGAGATCAGCACGAACAAAGGATGATCATGGACCAGATGCCCTATGCCCATCTGATTCCCATCCCTGGAGGAGAAAAAAGAAAAAAGGAGAAACTAAGCATCTTGAGTGAATTGTGTTTTTGTCTCAAAGAGACTAAGTATTAAACTAGACTTGGCTGAGCCCCTACTTGGTTTTACAAGATTAAGTTTTTTGCCCTTATGGAATTGGAGGCATGAGAGCTAAGACACTCTTTTATATAGAAATAAAGCAAATTAACATCTTTACAAACCTGAGTTGTTTTTGTTTTGTTTTGTTGTTTGTTTGTTGAGGCAGGATCCCACTCTGTTGCCCAGGCTGGAGTGCAAATGGCATTATCTCGGCTCACTGCAACCTCTACCTCCCAAGCTCAAGTGATTCTCTCACCTCAGCTCCCCAAGTAGCTGGAATTACAGGCACCTGCCACCACGCCCAACCAATTTTTGTATTTTTAGGGTTTCACCATGTTGGCCAGGCTGCTCTCAAGCTCTTGACCTGAGGTGATCTGCCTGCTTCAGCCTCCCAAAGTGCTGGGATTACAGATGTGAGCCACTGCACCCTGCCCAAACCTTAGTTTTGAGGACTGTTGTGATCATGAAAATTCAGCCCCCAACAAGTGCTCATGGAATTGCCAAGGAAAAATAAAAACCACATAAACAACTTCATTTTAGGGCATGGTCAAGCCACTTTGGGTCTTGGAACACTAGAAAAAAAAAAAAAATAGAAGCATCACCTCTGTTACACAGCATTCACTCCCAAAACATCAAATTTTTTCCAGTATTTTGAAATAGGTCATGGAATTGGCAGCCATTTCCCTTCATCTTGCAACAGTATGTAACTACTGATGTATTTCAATGAAGCTAATTCCTGTGTTTTTTTAAATCTATTTTCACTTACACTGTCAATGAAGAAGTCCTATTTTGCAAATCCCATTTGGAATCTTCTGTTACCATCCACATGTTCACAGTGATAAATGGTTTCATTGCCATGACCTAGAGGGAAAAAACGACACTCAGGGCACACACACAAACATAAATACCTTCATTGCTTGGGAACACATCTGGGATAAAGGGGACCATTTTTCTCCCTCTCATAGCATTCCCACCTAGGCTTATAAATAGTAACATTTTCCCTCTCTTTCCACTTTTTTCTTTATTCCCATGATGGAAAAGGAAGTATCTAGCATTCAGTGATATAATTTTTCCCTACAGAGCAGAGGAAAAGAATCTCTACCTGGCCCTCTTCCTTGTGTTGTTTTTTTTCTCTCTCTCTCTGGCATCCACCTACTCAAAACACACACACATTTTTAAGCTCCTGCAGGGGGACAGCTTAAATTCCAGATGGCTACTTTCATTCTAGGAGAGAGAGGATTATAGAAAGTCTGTTCAGACTACAGATACAAAATGGGTTCCCATTCTAACTTCACCAATAATTAAGCTGGTATTTGATCTGCCCCATTTGACCCCTATGTACTTCTCTCAACTGGTTCTAAACTCAAAAGTGGGAGAAAGGTATAATATATTGGCCCCTTAACTCTTAAAAGGTTTTTGTGTTTTGCAAATATGGTAGATTAGAAAAATAGCCACAGATTCATCTCCTTCCCATACCCACAGCCTCACAAGATAGCGTTTCTCACCAATAATTGGAGCTTGGGTCCATGCCTTGAATGTGGGCTGACTAGAGCTTGGGTCCATGCCTTGAATATGGGCTGACTAGTACCTTGCTTTGACTAGTAGGACAGGAGCAAAGGAACAAAAACAAATACTTGAAAAGTGCTTGGTCTTCTTCTCACAGGCTTGCTCTCTGGCAATTCACGGAAGCCAGTCACCATGTGAACAAGCCCAGGCTAACCACGTGGAGGATAAGAAACCAACATGGAGAGTGAGCTCAGACATGTCAACAATCAAGACCAGGCTAGCTACCACAAATCTGCATGCCCTTGCCAATCCACCAGCAGGAATGCAAATGCATGCATGAGCCCAGTGGAGATCAACTGAGCCCAGCTCAGACCAGAAGAACCACCAGCTGAGCCCAGCCCAAACCGCCAATGCATAAAATCATGAGCCAAATTAATGGCTGTTGCTGAAGCACTAAATTGTAAGATAAAGGATGCAGTGAAGAAAAAAGCATCAGATGACATTGCCCCTTGGTTGCTTTCTATATTGGTGTGCTCGAGTGTCAGATCCAGCCGATCAAACTCAGAGAACTTCCTGTTATCCTCTCCTTGAACCACATTTTTAGTACTTACCAAGAAACAGGAAGAGAACTCAGAAGCCCTTATCTGGGGAGTCTTACCAGATTCTAGAGGATAAGTCTCAAAGCACTTAATGGAACTTCTGACAGACAGTCATTATTATCATTATTGTTATTATTACTTTGCAGATTAAAAATGCTCTTTCTCAGAATAATCTGACAGGGAGAAATTCTTGGTGGACATTTTTGGCAAGTTGGATAAAGTAGCGGTTTGAATTTATGCCCAGCATTCACCGTTACGGACACTGCCAAAAAGTTCCTAGCATTTCAGCCATTTTCACTCTTCTGGAAGAACTAGGAGGTGGAAAATTATCCTATTTCCCAGTCAAGAAAAAATGTTTTTGTAGACTGTTGTACATAGTGACAAAACCTTGTCTGTTTCTCCATAAGCAGAAATCTGTAGATACCAGGAAATGTAGCAGAGTTCTTCTGAGGTTTACTAGTGTGTAGACAGCCTTACGATTGAACTGGATTCATAATCCTCGACTTGCTGACACAGATGGCATCAAGAATGCAGAGCCAACCTCATTAACTCTAGGACAAAGGGGATTATACAAAATAAATTAAACTCAAAGAGTCTTAGAGGATTCTGGGCCTCCTTGACACACATCTGACCTTGTGTGGCAAAGTGAGTTCTGGGAACAATAATGGTATTTGTTACTTACCTTTCTGAGTCACATTTTAGGGACTTGTTGCCAAAAAAAAAATGTTGAAATGATTAGATTGCTAAAATGATGCTGTCATGCAAAGACAGCTCCAACATTTCTATTTCTTTTTTTAAGTCAAACAACAGCAGGCTCCTCACTGAAATGTTACATTTCAGCAGAATTTCAATTTACATTTTTCATTCATTTGCAAAATTTGGATTTATTGCTTTTTCAAGGAAAAAAGCAGTAATATTTTGTGGAGGGGGGCAGGAAATGAGACAAATAATTTTTTGTAAGACTTGTTTGTATGGTCTGTCCATATGAAAAAAAATGAAATTCCCATGCAATAAAATAAATTACAAGCAAAAGTTTGTTTGTATATAGTTCCATGTATGTTTCTGCAGAGAGAAATGATAGCTTTCATCAGTTGATCAGAAGGGGGAGAAAGGATTAAAAATATTTACCAGAAAGAGGAAATGGACAATAATATAGCAGTTAAAAAATGTGTTCAGGGGCCAGCCTTTTTTACTTTTTGCCACCTACTAGTAGAGTGATTTAGGAAAATAAAATATGTCTGAGTTTTTTTAGTAAGAATGTGGCTAATAATGCTTATCAAATAGGGGAGTTGTAAAAATTTGATCAGATCAGATATGTAACTGGAATATAGTAGGCACTCAGCAATAACAGTGTACTTTCTGTCCTCTAATTGAGCTCTTTGTGTTATATTTAAAACCTCTCACAATCCAAACCCAAAACAAATTCTCAAGAGTTTCATCTATCAACACTCCATATGTTTTTGTCTTATATCCCAGCAGCCTTGGCCTGCTATGTGGTTTCTGTCAACTTCCCTAACCCCTTCTTACCAGTAAAATAGGTACCTACCTCATGGAATCACCATGAGGATCAAATGACATTGTATATACAAAGAACTTGGACCAGGGCAGAGTGTATGATAAGCACTCGATAAATGTTAACTAGATATAACACTTATTATCCTCATCTTCATCATTATTACATACCTCACCCTGACGTCTCCTTTCTCTGTATCATCACAGACAACACTTTATTTTTCTCAGCTTTCCTAAATCCTGCTCATTTGTAAGTCTCAATTCATTGATCCCTCCCAGGAATGGGTTGCCTCTCCTGAGTCACCATGCCCCCTGACCCACGTGCCTCTCCTATCTCACATACCATATCACTCTATGGTCCCCTGCTCATCTGTCGTCTCTCTAGCTAGTCTGTGAGCTTTTAAGGGCAAGAATTGTGCTTTATTCATCTCTGTACTGCCAGGGCCCAGCACAGAACCTGGCTTATGGCAACTCCTCAGTGAATAATGGTGCAATTAAGAATAAATGTATGGATTCTATCTCCTTCCAAACAAGCATAGTTCTCATTTAATTTCTTCATTTATTTTAACTGTTTTAGTTTTTAGTGGAAAAAAATGATTTAAACTGGTGTCTTAATCCATCCATTCAGGCTGTTATACCAAAATACCATAGACTGAGTGGTTTATAGACCACAGAAATTTATTTTTTACAGTTCTGGGAAGTCCAAGATAAAAGCAGAAGAATAGTTGGTGTCTGGTGAGGACTTTCTTCCTGGCTCATAGATGGTGCCTCCTCACTGTGTCCCCACATGGTAGAAGAGACTAGCCAGCTCTCTGGTGTCTCTTTTAAGAGCACTAATTCCATTTATGAGGGCTCTAATCTCATGACCTAATCACTTACCAAAGGCTTCACATTTTGATACCATCACTGATATGGTTAGGCTTTTTGTCCCCACCCAAATCTCATCTTGAATTGTAAGCCCCACAATCTCCACATGTCAAGGGAGAGACCCCATGGAGGTAATTGAATCATGGAGAAAATTTCCCCCATGCTGCTCTCATGAAAGTGAGTTCTCACAATATCTGATAGTTTTATGAGACTCTTTTCCCTTCACTTGGCACTTCTTTTTCCTGCCACCTTGTAAAGAAGGGGCCTTGCTTCCCTTTCACCTTCCACCATGATTGTAAGTTTCCTGAGACCTCCCCAGCCATGCTGAACTGTGAGTCAATTAAACCTCTTTCCTTTATAAATTACCCAGTCTCAGGCAGTTCTTTATAGCAGTATGGAAACAGACTAATACAGTAAATTAGTACCATAGAGAGTCAGGTGCTGCTATAAAGATACCCAAAAATGTTGAAGCAACTTGGAAACTGGGTAACAGGCAGAGGTTGGAACAGTGAGAAAGTGTGTAACTTCCTAGCAACCTATAGAATTCCTTGGATCAAATGCTGATAGTGAAATGGACAATGAAGTCCAGGCTGAGGGGTGTCAGATAAAGATTAGGAACTTCTTGGGAACTGGAATAAATGTGATTATTGCTATGCTTTAGCAAAGAGACTAGCAGCATTTTGACCCTGCCTTAGAGATCTCTGGAAATTTAAACTTGAGACAGATAATTTAGGGTATCTGGCAGAAGAAATTTATAAGCAGCAAAGTGTTCAAGAGGTGAATTGGGTGCTCTTAAAAGCATTCAGTTTTATGCATTCCAAAAGAGATGGTTTGGAATTGGAATTTATGTTTAAAAGGGAAGCAGAGCACAAAAGTTTGGAAAATTTGCAGACTGACAATACAATAGAAAAAAAAAAAAAAACCTTTTCTGAGGAGAAATTCAAGCCAGCTTCATAAATTTGCATAAGTAATGAGGAACCAAATTTTAATCACCAAAACAATGGGAAGTATGTTTCCAGGGCATGTCAGAGGTCTTTATGGCAGCCCGTCTCATCACAGGCCTGAAGCCCTAGGGGATAAACGTTGTTTTCTGGCCGTGGCTCAAGACCTTGCTGCTTTGTGCAGTCTCAGGACTTGGTGCCCTGTGTCCCAGCCATGGCTGAAAGGGGCAAACATACAGCTCAAATCATTGCTTCAGAGGGTGCAAGCCCCAAGCCTTGACAGCTTCCAAATAGTGTTGGTCCTGCGGGTGCAAAGAAGTCAATAATTGAAGTTTGGGAACTTCCACCTAGATTTCAGAGGATGTATGAAAACACCTAGTTGTCCAGGCAGATGTTTGCTGCAGGGGTGGAGCCCTCATGGAGAACTGCTGCCAAGGTAGTGTGGAAGGGAAATGTGGGCTCAGAACCCCCACACAGCATCCCCACTGGGACCCTGCCTTGTAGAGCTGTGAGATGAGGGCCACTGTTCTCCAGACCCCAGAATAGTAGATCCACTGACAGCTTGCAGCATGCACCTGGAAAAGCCACAGGCACTCAATGCCAGCCCATGAAAGCAGCCAGGAGTGGGGCTGTACTCTGCAAAGTCACAGGAGCAGAGTTTCCCAAGACCATGGGAACCCCCCTCTTGCATCAGTGTGACCTGGATGTGAGACATGATGTCAAAGGAGATCATTTCAGAGCTTTAAGATTTGACTGCCCCACTGGATTTCAGATTTGCATGGGGCTTGTAGTCCCATTGTTTTGGTCAATTTCTCCTATTTGGAACGGATGTATTTACCCAAAGCCTGTACCTGCATTGTATCTAGGAAGTGATTAACTTGCTTTTGATTTAACAGGCTCATGGGCAGAAGGTACTTGCCTTTTCTCAGACGAGATTTTGGACTTGGAATTTTGGCTTAATGCTGAAATGAATTAAGATTTGAGGAATTGTTGGGAAGGCATGATTGGTTTTGAAATGTGAAAGGGCCATGAGATTTTAGAGGGGTCAGGGGTGGAATGATATGGTTAGGCTTCGTGTCCCCACCCAAATTTCATCTTCAATTGTAATCATCATAATCCCCATAATCCCCACGTGTCAAGGGAGAAACCAGATGGAGATAACTGAATCATGGGGTGGTTTTCCACACGCTGTTCTCATGATAGTGAGTGAATTATCTCACAAGGTCTGATGGTTTTATAAGGAGCTCTTCCCCCTTCACTCAGCACTTCTCCTTCCTGCCACCTTGTAAAAAAGGTGCCTTGTTTCCCTTTCACCTTCTGCCATGATTGTAAGTTTCCTGAGGTCTCCCCAGCCTGCTGAACTGTGAGTCAATTAAACCTCTTTCCCTTAAATTACCCAGTCTCAGGCAGTTCTTTATAGCAGTATGGAAAGGGACTAATACAATTCTCTTGGGGATTTGAATTTCAACAAATGAATTTTGGGGGAAGGCAAACATTCAGACCATAGCAAATGGTTTAAGCAAAAGGGAATGTATCTCTCAATTAAGAAGTCCAGTAGAAAGCTCCTGGCATATCTGGATGTACCCACTTCTAACTCTGTTTTCCTCCATGTTGGTTTCATATTGATGCATCCTCAGTCGTGCTCCCTCTTGGTGGCCAGATGGTCATTGGTGACCTCAGACTTGCATCTTCCCAGACTACTTGTGCCAAGGCAAATAACTTATCTTTCCCAATAATTCCATAAACGTTCCAGATTGAAATTCACTGACTAGATACCCTCCCCTGGAGAAAGGTAGGAGGAACTCCATATTCTCTAAAAGACTAGTTGCTTCCCAAAGGAAATTGGGTGTGGTTACCAGAAGAAGAAAAAACATAGGCTCAACAGGCAAAAATATACTTGTCTATTACAGGTTCCCTCCCTGTCTCTAGTCCTGCTTGCTCCTTAATTTTCACCTAGAGACTTGGGCTTCCACCAACACTAACCACCTGCTTTCTTCTTCTCAGTTTGTAGTGGCCTCTCTCGTATAACCTGTGACACTTTGAGAAGACCCACTAGCCACCCTCAGTCCTCCTGTGGGCTATTCTGTTGTGAGCCACGGCCCACGGCCTGCTTTCTTAAGTCATATCTGTGCAGCTTCCTGATCATACTCAGTGTTGGGGTTTTAGAGGTCTCAATACTAGATACCTCTTTCCCGCCCTGGTGCAAGACCAACTTAGAAATAAGCAAAGGATTCAGGAGGTGAGATTTTAAAGGTTCCCTTCCCTACAGATAACAGGTGTTGGAGAACAAGACTTAAATGAAGAGCAGCAATGAGTTTCCTAGTATTGCACATTAGAACTGGGCAGACTTCTCTACCTGGTCACACAGAGTGCTGAAAGCCTGCTGGCTTCCCCATGGAGCCTGCCCCAGAAAAAAAAATTGAAAACATGAAAACAACTCTACTCCTACAGCACTGAGTTGTAGAGTTGTGCTTTTTGCAGGCAGGAACGAAGAAAGAGAAAAACAGAAAGCGGCCATGCCAGGGATGCCTGGTTCCTTCTCCCAAACTAACCAATCAAGTAAGTCTCTGCTCCCCTAGAGAAGAAGTGATGGAGGTGTGAGGGAGAGACGCCCGTTTATTACACGAATGCATGCTCTTCTGCATGCAGTGGGAGATAAGAGTCCCCCCAACAATCAACCTGGGTTTGGCTTGTTTGTGCATCACTGGTGCTGTAATCCTGACAAAGAAAGCACTTCCTTTCCAATCATGTTCTCTTTGCAAGCAGTTGGAAGTAATCGATAGGGATGTTATCACTCTTTGGACACCCCCAGGAAGATCCCACCTCCAATTCCACAAGTAGCAGGATGGGGCATGGGAAGAGGCTGAAGGGGAGGGGGCAAGTAGCTGACCCATTAAAATCGACTTGATGGCAGTTCCTTTTGTCTTCCAAAAAAACAAAGTGTGTGCACTGCCAAAGATTTTTGCTGACTCTTGGCTTCTTTGCTTTTAGTGCTATTGTTCACCCTGGGGATTTATGGTAATTCTTACTCCCTAAAAGATATCTCTGTAAGAATGCCCATAAATTTAGGAGGAATTGTTTCGATTTTCCTCACTAATTATTTTGCCTCTCAGTTATATATCAGCAATTTTTAAAGTCATAGGATGTTTCTTAGATACAATGGAGTATGAGATACAGGGCTCTGGGATCCAACAGACACCTAATTAAGAGTAAATCAGGTAAAAGCACAGACGGGGAACCTACTGTGCACAGAAGATTGCTCTACCTGCCATGGGAGGCCAGTGGGGAACAGAAAAGTAGTGTCTGACCTTGAAGCAATAGCCATTCCCAGTGCTACTTCCATGAATACAAAATGACTTAGTAAAGCAAGCACATTTTAAAACAGCAAGTTTTGTTTGGGATATTTCCAACTATATCAGACAGGGGTCTCTTGATGAGTACACAAGGGAGGCATTTATTTTTGTTCTCTGTACAAGAAAAACCTGGTAAATCTAGTCTTTTACTATTTTGTTTGCAAACCATGAGCCATGAATATCATACAAGTTAATTATGTTTTTCTTCTTTATTTTGGCTGCCAGGGAGCTCAAAACCAGTATTTGACCCACGTTTAACAATTGTATAGGAACTTGTAGCAGGCATTTTACATACTAATCTTAGTTTTCCTCGGTTCTCCAATCCTAATGGTACCTTCATCCCAATTTGTTCATCCATTTATGGTGGCCTGCTCACTGGGTTACAGAGTCCCTGGCTTTCACAGGTTCATAATTTTAGAAAGTGGCCCCAGCTCCCTTTCTCTGCTTCTCTGCTCAATTTCAGAAGATGTTTGTCATTATAGAAACTTGGAAGCAGGTCATGCCTGGAAACAGGTAAGGGATAGGTGAGATAAGGAATGTTCTTGATTTTGGGTAGAAGAGAAGAGACTAGGAAAAATCCCTAGAACAAAGGCTGAGAGTAGAACAGAGTGTGTGCAGCCAGGAAGGGTAATACGCATTACAGAATTGAGCAGAAGTCATGAACAAGGACTTCCCAGAACCTGGGTTGAGGTAGAGGGACAGAAAATGATGGGAGTACTTACATATGCTGTGGAAGATGCAACACTGGGAAGGAGAACATATATTCCATGAAAGCAGGAGACACATTATCTTGCCCATTACTGTCACACATGCCAGGCATGGGATTGCATTCAACTAATATATTTTCAATGAACAAATGCCTCAGTAGGGATGGTTCATTCATGATCTAATTCTCTCTTGACACCTCTATACCTTGAATTCAGCCTTCTTTTCATTCTCTGATGCAACAATGTTAGAGAAGGCAAAATAAATACAGTGACCTAGAATCAACAGTTGCAATATTAGTGAGCCCTCAGCATGTTGGGCTAGCTGATGTACCAGGGGAAAGACTGATGCCACATTACTTATGATTCTGCAGAGCTTAACAGTTTAGCACATAGGCTCTAGATCCAGATATCTTGGGTTCACCTCCCAAGTCTGATACCTGGCATCTGTAGGACCACAGGCAAGTTATATGAACACTCTGTGCCTCAATTTCCCCATCTGTACAATGGGGATAATAACAGTAGCAACTGAATAGTACGGTTGCACTGACTGATTGAGCCAAGATATGTGCCTGGTATATAATAAATACCATATAGGTGTTAGCCACTATTTCTAGCTAAAGACCTGGTCAGCTATGGCTCATACCTGCATGGTGATACTATAGACTTTATTCTTTATAGTGGAGCAGACACTGGGAGCCAGGGTAGTACAGGGCATGGGAACAGAGCTATAGAGAAAGGAAAGAGGTCAACAGAAGAGGGTATCAGTGAGGATGGGGTCAGGAAGGACAGAGTGCACCAGCAGAACATGCATCTGGGAAAGTACACCCCTGAGTCTTCATTGGCTGGGATTCAAACGTGAGACCCAAGTCTGCAGACCAGACTGGAAAGACCAAGTCAGACGACCAGACCTGGAGGGTCTGGCACACAAGGAAGAATTATTGGTTCTTGGCTCCTTCCCAATATTCTGCTGGGGAAAAAAAATCCTTGATCCTTCCCTGGCGTTTTCCAAGGAACCACCATTCAACTAGTCATGTAGGCAAATAACTTAGAACCTCCCTAGAGTCATCTCTTGCCCTCATCCCCAGAATTTCCACTGCCAAAGCCTGACCTACACCCAGCTATTTCTCTCCATCTCTGCTACTGCTACCTTGGCCAGGCCACCATCACCTCTTGCCTGGGTAACTGGTCAGACCCTGCTTACTGGTCTCCCCAGAGCTTCCCCCTTCTCTCCATAACCCACTTTCTGAACAGCAAGCAGACGGATGTATTTTTTTTAGGGTAAATCTAATCACACCCCTCTTCTACTTAAAACTCTACACTGGCTTTCTGTCACCGTCGGGATAAAATTGATGCTTCTTCCTTTAACTCATGAGGGCCTCAATCATCTGGGCTCTGCTGACCTCATCCTTCAACACATTTCCTCTCTTGTACCATAATTTAACTGCATCATTCTTTTTTGCATTTCCCAAACATTCTAGGCTGGTAGCATTCTGTAGTCCTTTGTACTGGCTGATCCATCTGCTTAGAACTTTCTGATTTCCAGTCTTTTCCCCCCAGATGGTTCCTTTTTGTCATTCAAGCCACTGCCTTGGAGATGGAAAATCCGTGTGTGAGGGAAGATCAGGGAAGCTACTTGGATGGAGCATGTCAAGCTGACAGAGAGCCCATGTGGTCCATCCATCCTACCAACAAATCTCTAGGAACTTCTACCATGAGCAAGGCAGTAAAGTGAAATTTGTAAAAGACAAAGAAATTAGTGCACTTCAGTCCCTGCCTAAAGTAGGCCCCTGGGCTACTGAGAACTCAAGTACAAATGTAGTACTGTGTGGTAAGTACTACAACATTCAGAGTCTAAGGGAACACAAAAGAAGAATTCCTTCCTCAAGTTCACTCTGGGGCCAAGGACGGCTTTGCAGAGGAGGGGGCAATTGAGCTGGGCATCGATGGCCAAGGAGTTCCCGGGAACCACGTTGAACCTGGGAGAGTAGAACACCTGAAATCCTGTGAAATCCACAAAATTCGTTCCCTGGCTTGTTGGCATTATGATTCCCCAGCTAAACACCCCCGGCTACAAGGTCTGCCAACTATCTGCCTTTTCAAATCATGCCTTTTATCTGAAACAGCTTTGAAGCTCCCTGGGCTTGCTCTCTTCCATTGTTCAAAGGAACTACTGGAAACGCTACCTCTTGGCAGTGAACGGTCACTCTGATCCATCGCCAGTGGGAGGTTCAATTGGTACACCTTTGGAAGAGTAATTTAGAAGACTGTTTCCGAAGTCTTTTTTAAATGACCATACATTTATTGTTCTGAATAATCCTGTTTCTGGAAATCTATCCCAAGGAAATGATCCTAAATTCAGAAAGGAAGATAAAAGCTGTATGTATAAGTGTTCACTATATGTACTAGTTATATTAGGAGCAAGCTAAATGTTCAATTACAAGGGAATTAACATGTTTAAATGGTTCATGTAGTAGAATATTATTTGACCATCATAAAGGGCACTTTCTTAGAATATGTAAGAGCTCAGAGAAATACTGCTAAAATAATGTTACGTGAAGTAGGATTTCAAGACTTATGGGCAATATGGGCACAACTATACAAGAAAAGTATGCCTATGACAAAGGCTGGGAAATGAATAGGAGGAATGTTACATGCTCCATTACTGCATCTTGGGAGGTGTTTATTGGTGATGTGTTTACTGGAAGCACTGGAACTGTTTTAAAAGATTGGGTTAATGTGCTGTTGAAATCCAAACTGAAAGTGGCTCTTGCACTTGGATTTTAAGTGCCCATGCTACTGATACAGCTTGTCTTCCCCTTCTGCCACCAGGACCCCACACAGAGAATACAAGCTTGCCCAGGGCATGAAAAGAGACAGAGACTGAGAAGGAGAGAGAAACATAAACCTAGCAACGCAGACACACAAACACTCTCAACAACAGGGAACTCAGAGGGACGGCACATTAGAGACACACTGAAGAAGCAATATTGTCCATGGAAACCGGCTGATAAAGATTTAACTCCCAAAACAAACTTGGAGCAAGTGCCTACATGATGACTGTCAGGGAACTCGTGCCAGTTAAAAGGTCTGAAAACAAGAGCCAGATCTTCCAACACTCCAGTCTTCCACACTGAGCAATGTGGAACTCTCAGGAGAGTCCGCATAGCATATCCTCAAAGACACAGATGCCAACCAGACCTGAACTTGGATAGGTCTGCCAACCTCACTGGCCAAGAGCTCACACCAGTTCCTTAGTGTGGGGAGCTGGAGATCAATAATGGAATCCACTGTTTGGTGTTTGTTTATGCTGTGGATGTTATGACTGAATTTTGTATATCTCCTATTCTGGAAGATTTTTGGTTTAAGTCATTCTGTTATTTTTACCTTTAAAAACAGAAAGCAAGGCCGGGTGCAGTGGCTCATGCCTGTAATCCCTGCACTTTGGGAGGCCAAGGTGGGTGGATCACAAGGTCAGGAGATCAAGGCCAACACGGTGAAACCCCGTCTCTACTAAAAATACAAAAATTAGCTGGGTATGGTGGTGTGCACCTGTAATCCCAGCTATTCAGAAGGCTGAGGCAGGAGAATCACTTGAACCCGGGAGGCGGAGTTTGCAGTGAGCCGAGATTGCACCACTGCACTCCAGCTGGTGACAGGGTGAGACTCTGTGTCCAAAAAAAAAAAAAAGAAAGAAAGCAAAACCTTTCTTATTCTAAATAGATATATGTGGATACTTGAAATTATTTTAGTCAAGATTATGTTCTCTAAAGCTGCAAAAACAAACAGAACATAAAAGCAAATCCCCTTGAAGACTGTAGCTTTTTAAATGCTTATTTATAATGGGTGTAACATGTATAAACATATATGTATGCAGGAGAAAAAAGGTGGTTAGAGAAAAGTATTTGGGTGTTAACAGTGATTGTCTTTGGCTGATTAAACTGAATGATTTGTTTTATTTTGTTTTTCAATGTTTCTGATTTAGACCAATTTTTCTTGATTCTCATGTATTCCTTTCATATTCTCAAAAGGAAACCTACTTCTCACATAGATTCTGTTGCAAGTTAATTGGTAGAGTGGGGCAAGGGGGTTTATAATGCTATTCCATATCCCACCACACAGTTTTGCTGGCAGACAATTCTCATCACACAAAAACTGTCCCCCAGCTGCCTACACGCCATTGCTAACACTTTATTTCCTTGTGGTTCCTGCTCTACTTGAATATCAACACGCCTGACTCTACCCCCCACATTGCCCAATGCCTTCAACTCAGAATGTCTATCTTCTCCCAGCTCTTTACCAATCCTAGACCTGATCACGGGAAATTTATGAGCCTAGGCCAGCAGTTGGTAACCCAAAATCAATGATTCTGGCCGCTGTTCCTATTGTGACCTCAATCCCTACACCTAGTAACTGGGCCATTCCAGGTATGAGCTATGGTAGGTTGATTGTAGTGATGCCCCCAAATAAAGGCCTTCCTGTATCTATGCCCTTTGCAACGGGATACTGAAATCCCCACCACCCGACCACACACACACACACACACACACACACACACACACACAGATCTAAAGATGGTGTCCATTTTTCTTACCTCCTTGAATCTGGGCTGGCTGTGTGAATTGCTTTGGCAAACAGAATGTGATAGAAGCCTAGGCCTAAAGAGGATTTATCCACTTCTGTGCGCTCTCACTCTCTCTCTCTCTCTGTCTCCTCTCTCTTTCTCTGTCCCCCACTTCCCTCCCTCTCACACCTCTGTCACACCATGAGAACATGCCCAAGTAGCGTGGGACCACACCCAAACTAGCCTGCTGCAGATGAGAAGACAGCCTACAGCCCACTAAGCTGAAAGAGAGAGCCCTTCCACAATCCACAGATTTCCTACCAAGCACATAGATGACTGCAGAAACTACATGAGCCCATCTGAAAGCAGAAGAACCTCCCAGGTGACCAGCAGATTCATGGTCCATAATCAATGTTTCTTGTTTTCAACCACAGTTGTAAGGTGATTTGTCACATGGCATTATTGTGTCAATAGATTGTGATACAGAGTTGATACTCCAGTTCCAATGATTGTCTTTTCTCCCAAATCATCTAAATCTCTGCCCAAAATGCAGGTCCATGCCCCAGTATCCAGAGAAACTTCAGTCTTGCCATGGCCCTAGAGTGCTTTCTGCTTTGGCCCCAGGGTCTGCCTGGCCAGATCCTTTCCTAGCCCCTCTTATCAAGACTTTCCAGACATAGTTCCTCTTTGGGCCACTGCCACCAAGCTCCATGTGACCTTGATAGTGACCATTAACCTCATTCACTGTGCATAGAGCCCATCCCACAGTCTATGAACATGGATATACATGAAATGCTTAGTGATAAGCACTACATGCAGAGTGATAAGAGCAATTGGGACAATGAGGACACCCATGGTTATTAAGCACACATTCTGTGCCAGACACCATAGTCAATGCTTCTGCTTATCTCATTAGTACAATGTCTCTAGTAGTAGATGTTATTATCCCCGTTGTGATGAGAATGTTGAAGTTCAAAGAGTTTGAGTAACTTGTTCAGGATTGCACAGTTAATAACTGGTACAAGTGTGATTTAAAAGCATGTTTGATTCAAAAACTGCTCTTTTCACAGTTGCCACGAGTATCAGTTAGCTATTGCTGAGAAAAAGTCCACCACAAAACCTCAACATCTATTTGTCACTGGTCTGGGGGATCAGCTGGAGTTTGGCTGATCTCAGCTGGGGTCCCTCATCCACCTGTGGCCAGTGGAGGTAGGAGGAGCAGTGGATCACCTCTAGACCTGACTCTAGAATGTCCTGGTAGAAGCAACCTAGCTGGGATATAGCTCAGCTGTACATCCACAGAGAAGGATCTCACTCATCCTTCTACCTTTGGGGGCCAGCAGGCTAGCCCAGGCATGCTTTTCTCCTACCAATGGCAGCAGCACAAAGGAGAAGAAAGACACACAAAGGCTCTTGAGGCTTGAACTCAGGGCTGGCACACCATCACTTTGTCTTTTTCTATTAGCCAAAGTGAGTCACATGACAGAGCCCCAAATCAAAGGGTTGAGAACCACACCTACCTATAGCGGGAGAGCCCTGCTAAGTTACATTGCAAGAGGCACGGATGCAGGGAAGGGTGAAGAATTGGGCCTAGTAATTAAACTTAGATATCATGTCCCCTTATACCTGTGAGGTGGTGGCAAATGTGAATCCTGCAAAGCAATGTCCTGTGTCAGGTTCCAAGTTCAACTTGTAGTTCTGCCACCTTTTAGCTGCATAGACTTAGTTGAATTATGAACTTCTCTGTATTTCGGTGACCTCATCTATAAAATAAGAATAATTAAGTCAACCTCTTAGCATTGTTTATGAAGATTAAATATAAAGCACTTTGTTTATATATGTTATATGTACAGGTAACATGATTTCTTACGTAGAAAATTCCAAAGAATCAACAGGAACATTCCTGGAACTAGTAGGTAATTATAGAATAATTGCAGAATACAAAGTTAATATATAAAAGTCAACTGCTTTCCTATAAAGTAGCAATGAACAATTAGAATCTAAAACTGAAACACACATAGCACTTAGTAAATGTGAGCTATTATTACATAAAGAGGTTATAGGCTCAGAGAGCAGGGTGCTTCCTCTTCTGTTCTTCCTTTCATTTGTCTCAATCTAAACCTCTTTAGGCCAGTTTCAGCCTCTAGCACTCAACATGGGTGTATAATCTCAAAGCACACCAATGAGTATTCTTGGTTACTGACTTCATTTTCCTCACGGAAAGCTGAACTCTGGAGGATATCTGGGCTTTATACAAGGTAACAAAGTAAGCATCATCATAACCATCATCATCATCATCATTATCACCATCATAACCCTGGTCTTCAGGTTCTCGGTCTCCAGGCTCTTACCCAGCCAGTGAGCCATGCTGCTCCTTTAAATAAAATGAGGGGTTTGGAAGAGAAGATGAAGAGAAATCCTTGGGAAATTTGAGAGAAATGAGTAAAGAAAAAGAAAATAACATCCTTTTACCAGAGTTTCCTTCTCAACCCTGACTTGGAGTTGCTCTTTGCTCTGGAGGAGAAAAGTTGCTCTTTGCTCTAGATGGGCTGGGAGATTTGGATCTCCTTTGCAGTATTTCTCAAAAGTAGCTGTGCAAACCCAGGCAAGTCATTCTGCCTCTTCGGGTGTCAGTTTCCTCCCTTGAAAATTGAAAATGATGTCTCTCTGTCTGTCTTATCAGTGAGAAGGAAAATCAGATGAAATGATGGATGCAAAGGAGCTGTTCAAACTTAAAACATAGCATGGGCCGGGCACGGTGGCTCATGCCTGTAATCCCAGCACTTTGAGAGGCCGAGGCGGGCAGATCATGAGGTCAGGAGTTTGAGACCAGCCTGGCCAATATGGTGAAATCCCATCTCTACTAAAATACAAAAATTAGCCAGGTGAGGTGGCACACGCCTGTAGTCCCAGCTACTCGGGAGGCTGAGGCAGAAGAATCACTTGAACCTGGGAGGCGGAGGTTGCAGTAAGCTGAGATCACGTCACTGCAGTCCAGCCTGGGTGACAGAGCAAGACTCCGTTTCAAACAAACAAACAAACAAACAAATAAATAAACCATAGCATGAATGTGACCATAAGAAAAAAGATGGAAAAAAAATCTCCAATGAGGTTGTGGCCTAGTCCTTTGCAAAGACATTGAAATTTGGTGTCCTGGTGGCTTTCTACATTGTTCCTAGGGAGTAAAGAACATGTCATCTACACACATACCCTTAAGGGCTCATTAATTGCACTGCTGGGTAGAAACACATGCATATACATGAAAATCTATCACTGATGGTGCTCTAATAATACCTGGGTTTGCAGCTCAGGAGAAGTCCAAAGCAGAGAGTTGCAGGTACCTAGTGGTCCAATGGAGTGATTGTGCCCCAAGGCTTTGAAGCCAAGAAGAACTGGGTTCAAATCATTGACTTAAAGTCTGATGCTCCGATGCATTACTAGAAAAAAGAGGGCAGGGGATTATAATATCAAACTCATGGGGCCATTGTGCCCTATCAATATATATAAATATTTAAAATGAGAAAATGTCTACAAATCTCATTGATTGAGAAAAAGAAGAGGAAGAGTGATAATTTAAATGCCGATCCCTTGGTGTGTGTTACCTCCCTGGAATCCTTACAGGGTTCCTGCATTGTGGTATCAGTCTCCTTCAAAGTTTCCAGATCCTTGTGTGTCTCATGCTAACATCTCTACAAATAGATGGACCAAGGCTGTTAAAATGCTGCCACAGATCAGTGGGCTCATGGAAGGAGCCAGGAAAGGCTGAGGAAGGGAGCAGCTCATACGATCATGGCACCCAACAGTTGAGCAGCAAAGGCTGCGGCAAGAATAAGTGGAGATATTCTGAATCTTCAGCTCCCAGAGTCCCTCCAGATTTGCTTAGAGACTCACTCCACTCTATGGACCACAGGCACCTGGAGCACTTTCTGTGACAAAAGAAAACAAACAGGAGGATAAGCAAGAAGTTCAATTTTAGGTTATTACAGAAGATTATCGCAAACAAATAGACCTAGGTCCAAATCTCAGCATGCAATTTACTAGCTGGATGGACTTAGGTGGGACCCGTGACCTCTCTGATCCTCTTATCTATAAAACAAGAATAATCAAACCCACCATAGGATTGTGCCGAGGATTAAAGTACATGCCACTTGTAAAACATCTAATCCAAAGCTGGTGCTTAATATATGTTAGCTCTTTCTTCCCCTCTTTCTTCTTAGTTCTTGCATGTAGAATAAACTATCAAATTAAATATATTTACATTAACGGCAACATCCAAACAATAGAATTCAAAAGGAATGTAGGGTAGAGGAAAAATTCACAGTATCCATTCCTTAGAACTTCAGTCCTTATTTTAAAAATAGATTATTACAAACCAATGGGTACTTTGAGAAAATAGTGTCTAATTCTACCCATTTTGAAGATCGGAGGATGTAGAACTGATGCCCAGAAAAATAAAATTTTTTGAACAAAGTCACACAGAGAGTTACAGGTGGATCTTGTATTAGAACCCAGTGTATTAATCAGCTACTGCTGCATAACAAACATCCATCAATCTCAGCAATGTAAAACCTCCATTATGGATTCCCAGGCACCTACCTGTGAATTAGCTGGGCCATGATGGCCAAGATTCTCTTCTCAGGGCAAGAGCAGCCCCCAGACAGCTCTACTGCCAAAGCACATTTCAAGCCTTTTCTTACATCATCTACTAACTTCCCATTGCCCAAAGCAAATCACAAGGGCAAGCCCCTCAGTAATGGGGTCGGGGAGTATGCCACATTCAGGGAGGATGACTCAACCCAGGGTGTTCTCGTGGGAGTGGTGGGAGATAGAGAGAGAACATAAATGCCTGCAGTACAGGCAGGTAACATGCAATGGTGAAGTGGGCCAAGACAAAAGGCAATAAGGAGAGGTAGGGCATGTGGAACTGTGAGACCATGCCTTCAACTCCAGCTGATTGTTGCTAGATCGTATCTTTCAAGAGATGCTGACATGCAGATCTCCTATAAAGCAAGCTTCCTCCATCTTAAATCAATGAGCAGGACAACAGAACAAGCTGACAGGCCACATTTCCTCAAGCCCTGCTCTTCACCACACTACCTCTCCCTAAGGTTCCCGTTGGTCTTTCTGTGACTGAGGATCTCAGTGTGAGTCCCCGGAAATATTCACGAGTCAGATCATGACAACAGGTGAAATGGCAGCCTTGCCACGTCCTGAGTTGACAGTACGTAGCAGGTGTCCTAAGATTATGTGAAAGCTGACTGGTTTTAGGGAAGTAGGGGAAGGAGAAGTCTTACAAATTTAATTCTTAGTGGCAAGTGCCTTTCTTTCATCAGGGCTCCAAGCTACAGCAATTTGCACAAGGAGCGATCTGCACATTTTCATCCTGTCTATCTTCCCAGGTTATTAAATAGTTCTTGTCTAAGTTAAGTCAACAAAGCTTTTCCAACATCTGGAATTTTTAATATCTGAGACTGTTTTGGGGAACTTCATTGTATTCTTCTGCTGACAAATAAGAAAATAATAACAATAAGATGATGATTATGATAATAATAATAATAGAATAATAATGAGTCACCATATAATGAACCCTTGCTCTATGTCAGGCACTGTTATAAGCTCCTTATATGTACTAAGATACTGGATTCTGGATTTTAATTATCCTATAATATAAATATTGTTCTCCATTTTACAGAATAAGAAACTGAGACACAGAGCGGGGAAATAATCTGACCAATATTATTCAGTAAGTAAAGACATTCATTTTTCCCAATAAAAAACTCTTACCAAGCAAGTGACCCAGCCTTCAGAAAAAAATCTGATAACATCCAAAATTGCCTTTATGAGTCACAAAGACAGTTATTTATTAAATCTCTACTCTATGGTCAACATATTTTATTGAATTCTCACAATAGCACCATGGGGTGTACCTAATCCCCATTTTCTCCATAGGAAATTAAGGCTCAGAGATTTGCAATCATTTCCCCCACTATCTAGATATAATTTGGAAGAAGAGCCTTTGAAACCCGCATCGGTCTGGCTCCACTGGATAACAGTGCCTCCAATTTAGAAATGAGGCTGCGATATTATGGTATCTGTATATGTTGATTTCTGCCCACAGTTCCTGGCTCATAACTCACAGCCTTTTGTTATGATGTTGGGATGCTTTAGGCCTCAGAAGCAGGCCTCAGAAAACACAATCTCTCTCTCTCTCTGATCTTCCCCTACCCGCCTTTCACCAGACCAAAGCAAGACTCCAATCTTCCCGTGCCTTTTTGATTGAGACCCTCACTCCACAGAGGATCCTGCCTCACACCCTAGAGGGGAGAATGCTGCAGAGAGGCCCAACATATTTTGACACGGTTGTCCATGCTTCAACCATGCCTGTGCAAAGTAGTCTCCATAAAGGGCCCAAGAGGACAAGTTCGGGAAGGTTTTAGATAGCTGAACACATGGAGGTTCCTGGAGGGTGGCCCGCCAGAGAGGGCACAGAAACTCTGCACCTTTCCCCCATACCTCACCCTATGCATCTCTTATCTGTATCCTTTGTAATGTCCTTTATAATAAACAAGTAAATAAGTGTTTCCCTGAGTTTTGCGAGCAACTACAGCAAATTAATTGAACCCAAAGAGGGAGTCGTGGGAACCCCAACTTGAAGCTTGCTGGTCAGACGTTTGGAGACCTGGACTTGTGACTGGTGTCTGAAGCAGGCGGAGGGTAGGGGAGCAGTCTGGTGGGACTGAGTCTTCACCCTGTGAGATCTGACGCTGTCTCCAAGTAGACAGAAGAGGTCAGATAAGAGATCTGAAAATGAAGAGATCGCATCTGCTCTGACAAGAGGGGATATGGGATGGTTTTGCCTGGGCTCTAAATCCTAAAAGTATTTTAACCAATCAACCCTTAGATACAGGGTGTCCTTAGAGGACACCTACCTGGTGTCTGCTGCAGAATTGATTGCTTATTTGTTGGTGGGGAGAAACCCTTCACATTTGGTCACAGAAGTCTTTTGTCTGTATTGATTGTTGTGTTGAGTAAGAGAATAGACAAACACACTTTGAGTTTATGGGTTTTTTCACTCACAGAGGTTCACAAATTCTTACTTACCTTCCGTCCTAGGCCTTCACTGCTATCAAAGTTCCAGACTCATCACAGCCTCCTCTGAGCCTAAGCCAGAAATCCTGAAAGTCATGGTCCTGCCATAACCATGATAAAAGGTCATGGCCTTTTTATCTCACCAAGTGTGGTGCCTGATCCATCTCGTGCTGGGAGAAGGCTATGACCAGGACTGCTCTCTGCCCTCTTGTTCTCTTGCCATCCTCAACTTCTCTTCAACAACTCACATCCAACTTGCCTTTTAATACTGCAATAAGGTCCATCTCATAAAATCATGGGCTTGTAGAAACTTTGGTAGCACAATGAAACTTAGAGATGATCTAGTCTACCCTCTTAGTTTATCAGAGAAATTATGAGGCTTCCTGAAAACATCAGCCCACACTGACCTCTAACCCTCCACACTCTCTCTGTGTGGATTTTATTGTTGTTGTTGTTGATACCACACATATGAGCACTACATATTTGTCTTATATTTTCTCTGATGATCTTTTGTGTATCTTTCTCACAATGACAATATCCAACAATCAGACCTTCAAGCCAGAGGAGCCCTTAAAAATTCACTGGGCAGAGCACCTTCATTTTTCTGCTGAAGAGTTGAGTAGAAAGAAGGACCAGGACCCACCCAAATCCCACTACCTCCAGCACTGGAGGAGCACAGATCCCTGAATTTTAAGACCAGCCCCCTTGTACTCTTCCAAAAGTAGGTGGCAACTTCCATTGGCTTTACTTCCTAGAGTTGTCCAATAAAGAGCAGCTGAATAGAGTGGAGAGATCATACACATTCAAGGTGACCAAACCAGCTCTGAAACCAACAAGCCCAGCAATTAATGCTTAGAGGCAAGAGAGACTGTATAGAAGAGTAATAGGTGCAGAGTGAATACACTAAAAATAATAATAGCTAAAATGTATTGAGTCCTCAGCAGTTGGCATGTATCAACTGCTTTAATCCTCACAATAACCTATGAAGGAGGTTGATATAATTTGGCTGTGTCCCCACCCAAATCTCATCTTGAACTGTAGCTCCCATATTTCCCACGTGTTGTGGGAGGGACCCGGTGGGAAATAATTGAATCACGGGGGCTATTTCCCACATACTGTTCTCATGGTAGTGAATAAATCTCACGAGATCTGATGGTTTTATAACGGGTTTCCCCCTTTCATTTGGCTCTCATTCTCTTTGCCTGCCATCATGTAAGACATGCTTTTGTTTCTTCTTTGACTTCTGTTATGATTGTGAGGCCTCCCCAGTCATGTGGAATTGTGAGTCCATTAAACCTCTTTCCTTTATAAATTACCCAGCCTTGGGTATGGCTTTATTAGCAGCATGAGAATGAACTAATATAGAGGTATTATTGTTATCCCTATTTTACAGGTGAAAAAACCAAAGCACACGGAGATAAAGTACCCAAAGTCACACAGCCAAAAAGTGGCAGAGCCAGGACTCAAGCTCAGCCCGTCTGGGTGCAGAGCATGTGCCCACAATCCTTGCACCATAGCCTCTTGATTAATGCTTCTCCTCTCACTGTTAGCTCCTTGAGAGCACAGGCACTGTTTTGTTCACTACTTTATCCCCAGCACACAGCAAGGCAGCCAGAATTGAAAACTTATTGACCTAAATCAAACTGAACTGAGAAGACTTTTATCACATGGCCAGGAGAAAGGTGCCATTGTCCACTTATTAATAGGGTGATCCAAAGAAAGTAGCTTGATCTCAACTCCTCAGTATATATAAATGGGGACGGTAGTACCTACATCATTGCATTAACTCCAGTTGTATTTAAGACAATGTTTATAAAGTGCCCGGAACATGGTAAGTGGTCAACAGTGGTAACTGGTATTATTAATGGTGGCAGGGAAAGCAAGACAAGAAAATAAACCCCACTGGTGCTGGGACTATGTATGTGCTCAGAAGAGGTCAGATCAGAGATCTGGAAATGAAGAGATCACATCTGCTCTGAAAGAGGGGAAATGGGATGGTTTTGCCTGGGCCCTAAATCCAAAACAACCATTTTAACCAATCAACCCTTAGATACAAACTCTCACATGAATCTCAGAGTCCACCTAATTTATATAGGGAGTAGCCATGCTCTGAAATCCAAAGACATCTAGACCCAAGGCCTGACTCTATCAAAGACTTGCTCTGTGACCTTGGACAAGTCACTCAGCCTCTCTGGGCCCCAATTTCCTCATCCAT